CCTCTGGCTGACCAAAGTGTTCACAAACTAATGTACGCCTCCTGATTATATTATTAGACCTTTCAACATGATAACAACGAATCTTGAATCCTTGCTTACTCTTATACTTTTCAACTTCCTTCATCGTATAATCCCAGTCAGAGAATATCTTATTCTCTCGCAATTCTTCATCTTGAGCACCTTCTATCAAATTATAATAGTTATATGGTATAAGATTCTCGTGTTTAGCATTTTCACAGTTCATAATATCTCCAACTTCACGATTATCTTGATCATTGCTACATAAAAAATCTCTTATAATACCTAGGATATCATTAGCAGCAAAATTGCTCTGGATATTACTGTATGATGCGTTATCAGTTACAGTAAATTCATATAGCGCATTATCATTAACGGCATATTCTTCATATCCTTCCATAGTTTAGATATAAATAGGTAAGGTCAAGCGTAGATAAATTAACAAGACAAAAGGTAAGGTAATATAATGATCAAATGTAAGCAACATAGTAAGAAAAAAAATTCCAAATATCGAACGATTGAATAAAAGATCAAATGCAAATGAGAAAAATTTTGACAAATATAGATAAGACGAATATGATAAGACGAATAGGATAAGATGAATAGGATAAGACGAATAGGATAAGACGAATAAGATAACACAGAGATCAAGTGTAAATGACGTAGTAAATGTTGTTGAATGATTGAGTAAAGGATCAAGTAGAAGGTCAAATGCAAGTAAGAAAAAAAATTTTTTTATATGGTTAATCGAATTAATTATGTCATTTTTGTTGAGTCTATTTAATGAATTACATAAGGGTAGCATCGTGGCACTATGTTCATTAATATCGAGATTATTTTTATTTAATAAACCGATTACATAAGGGTAGTGCTGCGGCACTATAGTACTACAATATTATTCTCTAATTTTATATATAAATTATATATAAAATTTCTTTAATAACAATTGATTTTTTTAAAGAAAATTTTATATAGTTAGTAAAATATTTTTTAAAGATTTCTTAAAAACTACTAAACCAATTTTAATATTCTTATAACTATTAAATATATCTTAATAAGCTTTATAACTTTCATTAGAATCTTAAAAATAATTTATTTAGTAAAAAAAAGTTTTTTTAAATAAATACTACATTTCTATCTTAAAAGATTTATATATAGAACATGTTGTATTATACTATAATAATTTTTTAATTCACTAGAGAATCATTAATTAAAAAATTTTAGTAGTTTTTTTACTTACAAAAAAAATATATTGAAAGATTAGAAAAATAATATACAGTACCGGACAGCAAGAAACATCCAATTTTTTTTTAAAAGCACCAAATTTTGAGATTTATACTCAAATCTGATTGGCTATTTTTGTGTAACAAGAATCTGATTGGTTAAAAATCTATAA